TCAATAGTGCTGTTGCTCATATAGTAGGGTGGCCGTACGTGCCATTTTCCCAGGACGCGTCCTGGCCAGGATTTCTATATTGCCTAAAATATCTAGGTTTTGGCTTTGTTTGCGTGTGCAGACCGATCGGTGTATGACATCAAAATACCATACAGACGGTTCCTTATGCTTTCAAAATGCTCTCGAGGTATTTTGATGTCATACACCGATCGGTCTGCACACGCAAACAAAGCCAAAACCTAGATATTTTAGGCAATATAGAAATCCTGGCCAGGACGCGTCCTGGGAAAATGGCACGTATGGTCACCCTATTTTAGTAGGCACCCCACACTAGGTCCAGAAATCAGTTATTTCCAGCATTACTTTTTCTGGCCAGATTATTCCACTCTTAACATCAGTTACCAACTTAGGTGCTAGAATAGATTCTCATCTGACCTTTGAGGCTCACATTAAACATCTGTTTAACCTGTTAACCTGCTCCCCCCATTTTGGGACTCACAGCTGAAAATGGCCTACCTAACTTAAAATGGTAACAGTTCCTGACAACAGTGTGCTACACACAAAATTTAGGTATCTTTGGAAAGACGACACATTAGGCTTTACTATTCATCATCCAGAGTTGATAATGCTCAAAAAGATAAAAAGTTATAGACACTGAAGTGCCTTGAAAAAAATTGTACCACACTGAATGTTTTTTTTAATTTCATATACAAATACATGAAATCAGTCCTTGAGCAATCCAGAAAAGTAATGGGTTGAAAGTCACATGTCTCATGAGTTTATATTTCACATTTGAAGAAGATAACATGAAAAATGAGATTCCTGCAGTCATTTTTCTGAGACTATGTCTAGTCCCCGCCCCCCTATTTTAAACTATTTTAGTCATTATACATACCACTGCATACATTTTCAATTATAAAATAATAGACAGAATCTTAGACATCATATAAGTGATTTATTTGAGCACTAGAAAAATACAATAAGAATAATTTTTGAGTAATAAAAAGAAAAAAAAGAAGAGAGAGAAAAAAAAGTGTATGTATTTTTTGACATACTTTGTATGTCAAGTAAATACTCTGATTGCCAGACATACAGCATTCACACTGATTGCTGTTCATACAGTCAGTAATCACATGCTGATGGCCGGTCATACAGATGGCCGACCATATAGTCAATAGTCACATTCTTATGGCCGTTCATATAGACAGCATTCACACTGATAGCTGGTCATACAGTCAGTAATCACACGCTGATGTGCGGTCATACAGATGGCAATCATACAGATGGCCGACCATATAGTCAATAGTCACATTCTTATGGCCGTTCATATAGACAGCATTCACACTGATAGCTGGTCATACAGTCAGTAATCACACGCTGATGTGCGGTCATACAGATGGCAATCATACAGATGGCCGACCATATAGTCAATAGTCACATTCTTATGGCCGTTCATATAGACAGCATTCACACTGATAGCTGGTCATACAGTCAGTAATCACACGCTGATGTGCGGTCATACAGATGGTAATCATACAGATACAGCCACATTCCCCACAAAACACACACACATATATGAAAAATGTTGAATAGGGGAAAAAAAAGAATTATTTGTGCAAAAAGCCAATCGCTAAGTTACGCCCCAACAGATGACAGGTGCATCACAGCATGCATCACGAGCCGTCACAAAAGAGCGCCAGAATTCAAATAAACAAGATTCCACATATCTTTGACTTTTTTTAGTGGATGGTCTCATTCTGTTTGTGACACTTGTATGCTACAAAACCATGTTGTTTTTTACTACCAAGACGCAGTTTTTTGAGCGTAAGTTACTCCATAACGGATACAAACAATAACTCTCCCCAAAGAAATGTGACGTAAACAAAAGAATAACCATCCATATTACAACGTTATTGTTTCGTTGGACTAAAAGTGCTCTATGGGATGTTGTTCAGTGGAACCTTGCCTTTCTAACTAAACCGGGATTTACAGCAGGATGCGTTTGTGACTCGTTATTACGATGAATCTGGTACGTACTGCGTTTTTATTATGCATGATTTGATGTGTACTGCTTACACATATTTAGCAAATACATTCCTCATAAGCTTTCCATTGAAAAACAGCGATCTACCGTCAATGCTTGAGGCTTAGACCTTTAGAATGATATATAGTTTGTCAAGATTAGGTTAGTCTACACTTGTCCACGCCTTTGTCTCCTCTAGGCTGGATTACAGTAATGCGATCCTCATTGGGATCCCTGGCAAAAGCCTACAGAAATTGCAGTACATTCAGAACAGTGCTGCTAGGATCCTGATGAGGGTACGCAAATACGACCAATCACTCCCATTCTCAAATCACTTCACTGGTTTCCTATTTCATTCAGGATTGCTTATAAGGTCTCCCTCCTTACCCATCAGTACATACATGGCTTCGTACTATGGGAGATCGGGCTTTCTGCTCAGCTGCTCCGAGCTTGCAGAATGCTCTCCCTGACCTTCTGAGGACTCCACAGACTGTGGATGCTTTTAAATGCGGCCTTTACCTTTTTAGCAGAGCCTTTGATTGATTCCTAACATTTCTTTTTTGTTTTAATCTGTAGCACTTTGGGATTCTGTTCGAATATAAAGTGCGTTACAAATAAAATGTATTATTATTAACAGGGGTAGGCAAGTTCGGTCCTAGAGAGTCGCTGTCCTGCAGAGTTTAGCTCCAACCTAACTCACCTGCCTATAGCCTTAGTAATCTTGAAGACACTGATTAGCTTGTTCAGGTGTGTTTGTTTAGGGTTGGAGCTAAACTCTGCAGAACAGTGACTCTCAAGGACTGAACTTGCCTACCCCTGTTTATAATAATACATTTTATTTGTAACACACTTTATATTCTAACAGAATCCCAAAGTGCTACAGATTAAAACAAAAAAGAAATGTTAGGAATCAATCAAAGGCTCTGCTAAAAAGGTAGGTTTTGAGGCCGCATTTAAAAGCATCCACAGTCTGTACATCCACATCTACATCCACTACCCCTGTAGTAGGGATTTCATTATCAGGGTTCCCCAATCCTAGTCCAGGAGAGTCACTTTACCACAGAGTTTAGGTTGATCTGAATTAAATGCACCTGAATCAACTAGTCAGTCTTTGCATTTACTTTAATAACAGCCAGGTGTGTCGAACCTAAACTAAGGTGTGTCGAAACTAAACTCAGTAGGAATGAGGCTCTACAGGAGAAGGAATGAGGAAGCTGCTTCAGAGACTCAAAGACAAACCTGTTTTATACACGTCACTCAAACACAGAACCAGGAAAGTATTTAAACTCATCAGTTCAAGGAAAGAGAAACTGAAGTGTAGTTGAGCTGTTGTGTGTAAAATGGCAGGAGCCAGAATTTCGGTGGATCAGAATGAGTTTATGTGTGCAGTGTGTCTGGATCTCCTGAAGGATCCAGTGACCATCCAGTGTGGACACAGTTATTGTAAGAGCTGTATTACAGGCTGCTGGGATCAGGAGGATCAGATGAGAGTCTACAGCTGCCCTCAGTGCAGACAGACCTTCAGTCCAAGACCTGCTTTAGCTAGAAACACCATGCTGGCTGAATTGGTGGAGAAACTGAAGAAGACCGAACTTCCTGCTGACTGTTACGCTGGAGCTGGAGATGTGCAGTGTGACGTCTGTACTGGAAGAAAATACAAAGCCGTCAAGTCCTGTCTGGTGTGTCTGGGGATCAGGAGGATCAGATGAGAGTCTACAGCTGCCCTCAGTGCAGAAAGACCTTCAGTCCAAGACCTGATTTAGCTAGAAACACCATGCTGGCTGAATTGGTGGAGAAACTGAAGAAGACCGAACTTCCTGCTGACTGTTACGCTGGAGCTGGAGATGTGCAGTGTGACATCTGTACTGAAAGGAAATACAAAGCCATCAAGTCCTGCCTGGTGTGTCTGAACTCTTACTGTCAGAATCACCTCGAACAACATGAGAGTTGGTTTAGAGGAAAGAGACACAATTTGACTGAAGCCACTGGACGACTGCAGGAGATGATCTGCCAGAAACATGAGAAGCTCCTTGAGGTTTTCTGTCGCACTGACCAGAAATATATATGTGTGCTGTGTACGATGGATGAACATAAAAACCACGACACTGTATCAGCTGCAGCACAGAGGACAGAGAAACAGGTATTTAAGACTAGACACTGATGAAATATTGCTGACACTCGTTTCATATGTGTTTATATCAGCACCATATGAACAGCTCACAGCATTCACACTGTACATGGCAGCAGAAATGAACAGCAGTTTCACTGTTTGCTGAAACTGCACCAGAAACCTTTATCAACACAATCTTTCACTAAATAGGCTTTGAATAAACAACATAAAATAATGAATTTAACTATTCACCCGCATAAGGCAAACTCTGCTACACAGCAGAAACACTGTCACTCTGAAGCTCTACGTCAATTTCACTTTTATAATACTTACGCTTGCAGTGCGAGACACTCCATAACATTCATGATACTTCATGTATGATGATTGTAACCGATCATCACTTCATGAGTTTGATCCTACAGCCATTAGTTATCAGTCCTACATTTACTGGATTCATCTGTTCACATAATGATTCAGTGCCAGTATTTTTCTGTGTGTGTTTTCTGTTTACTATAATCTGTTTGTCCTGCAGAAGCAGCTGAAGGAGACGCAGAAGACGTTCCAGCAGAGAATCCAGCAGAGAGAGAAAGATCTTCAGCAGCTGAGAGAGGCTGTGGAGTCTCATAAGGTGAGTCTGGAGAAGAAGAGAAGTTTGTCTCTTGGTCTTGGGTCTCGGGCAGGTCGCAACCGCTGCCGTCTTACTAATTTGGGGACGCACCTGCCCGTGGCCCAAGTGGAAGCCCAGATACCGAACCTCCACCCGCCCAACCGCACACTTCTTCGGGTTGGCCGTCAGTCCGGCCCTTCTCAGCGCTCTCAGTACGGCCCACACATGCTCCATATGCCGCTGCCAGTCGTTGCTATAGATAATAATATCATCCAGATAAGCAGCAGCATATGTCGCATGTGGCCGAAGAATCTTATCCATGAGGCGCTGAAACGTGGCCGGCGCCCCGAACAACCCGAACGGAAGCGTAACGAATTGGTGCAATCCGAACGGCGTGGTGAAGGCTGTTTTTTCTTTGGATAGAGGTGATAAGGGGATCTGCCAGTATCCTTTAGTTAAATCCAGTGTCGAATAAAAACAAGCTGCACCCAGCCGATCAAGCAGTTCGTCAACCCGCGGCATTGGATAAGCGTCGAATTTCGACACCTGATTAACCTTGCGATAATCCACACAGAATCGTACCGAGCCGTCCGTTTTTGGTACCAAAACTATCGGGCTCGCCCAATCACTATGGGATTCCTCTATTACTCCCATCTCCAGCATCGCCTCTAATTCCGCCTGAACCACCTTTTTTTTGTGCTCCGGCAAACGATATGGCCGGCTGCGAACCACCACACCCGGCTCGGTTTCTATGTGGTGCTGTATGAGGTCCGTTCGACCAGGTAGGGGCGCGAACACATCTGCAAACGCTGCCTGTAGCTTGGCTACGTCAGCGAGCTTCAAGGGCGAGAGGAGATCTCCCCCCGGGGCCAGAGCTAGAGATTGCCATTTAGTATTTACCTCGGGCCCGAGATCCTCCTCCCCACTCACTGCCGTCGCTAGCATCACTGACTCCGCCTCACTCCATTTTTTTAGGAGGTTGAGGTGATAAATCTGATGTGCCCCGCTCCTATCTGTCCGCATGACCTCATAATTAAGATCCCCAATTCGCCGTGTGACCTCAAAGGGTCCTTGCCACTTGGCGAGTAATTTAGAGCTAGATGTAGGGAGCAATACAAGCACTTTCTCTCCCGGTGCAAATTTACGCAGCCTGGACCCCCTGTTGTACAGCCGGCTCTGCCTGTCCTGGGCCTGTAACAAATTCTCCGTCGACAGCCGCCCCAAGGTGTGGAGTTTTGTTCTCAGGTCCAGCACGTATTGAATTTCATTTCGGCTTTCTGAAGGCCCGTCCTCCCAAGTTTCTCTCAGGACGTCCAGCACCCCGCGGGGCTGACGCCCATAGAGAAGCTCAAAGGGGGAGAACCCCGTGGAGGCTTGGGGGACCTCCCGCACAGCGAACAAGAGGGGTTCCAGCCACCTGTCCCAATTTTTGGCGTCTTCGTGAACGAACTTCCGAATCATGGTTTTTAACGTGCGATTAAACCATTCCACCAGACCGTCTGTTTGTGGGTGGTAGACGCTGGTGCGAATCGACTTAATGCCCAATAATTCGTACAGTTCGCGTAACGTACGTGACATGAACGCCGTGCCTTGATCAGTGAGAATCTCCTTTGGGATTCCCACTCGGGAGATTAACCGAAACAGCGCGTCCGTCACACTTTTCGCCGAAATGTTGCGAAGCGCGACTGCTTCCGGGTATCGTGTTGCATAATCCACTAGGACTAATGCAAAGCGATGCCCGCGTGCTCGACACCTGATTAACCTTGCGATAATCCACACAGAATCGTACCGAGCCGTCCGTTTTTGGTACCAAAACTATCGGGCTCGCCCAATCACTATGGGATTCCTCTATTACTCCCATCTCCAGCATCGCCTCTAATTCCGCCTGAACCACCTTTTTTTTGTGCTCCGGCAAACGATATGGCCGGCTGCGAACCACCACACCCGGCTCGGTTTCTATGTGGTGCTGTATGAGGTCCGTTCGACCAGGTAGGGGCGAGAACACATCCGCAAACGCTGCCTGTAGCTTGGCTACGTCAGCGAGCTGCGAGGGCGAGAGGTGATCTCCCCCTGGAGCCAGAGCTAAGGATTGCCGTTTAGTATTTACCTCTGGCCCGAGATCCTCCTCCCCACTCACCACCGTCGCTAGCATCACTGACTCCGCCTCACTCCATTTTTTTAGGAGGTTGAGGTGATAAATCTGACGTGCCCCGCTCCTATCTGTCCGAATGACCTCATAATTAAGATCCCCAATTCGCCGTGTGACCTCAAAGGGTCCTTGCCACTTGGCGAGTAATTTAGAGCTAGATGTAGGGAGCAATACAAGCACTTTCTCTCCCGGTGCAAATTTACGCAGCCTGGACCCCCTGTTGTACAGCCGGCTCTGCCTGTCCTGGGCCTGTAACAAATTCTCCGTCGACAGCCGCCCCAAGGTGTGGAGTTTTGTTCTCAGGTCCAGCACGTATTGAATTTCATTTCGGCTTTCTGAAGGCCCGTCCTCCGAAGTTTCTCTCAGGACGTCCAGCACCCCGCGGGGCTGACACCCATAGAGAAGCTCAAAGGGGGAAAACCCCGTGGAGGCTTGGGGGACCCGAGAGCGGACGGTCGGGATGGAGAGGCTGACCGTCGATGGTCTGAACCTGTTCCAATGCCCGTTTTAGGGACTCATCCTGGGACTGTTCCAGGGGAAAATCATCACGTTCAGAGAGGATTAGTCTCTCATTCGCGCTCCGTTCCCCTGGCTCAGTATCCCGTGGTCCCGGTTCAGCCTCTCCCACCTGCACGTCCGCTCCGTTCTCTAGCTCACACTTTTCGCCGAAATGTTGCGAAGCGCGACTGCTTCAGGTTATCGTGTTGCATAATCCACTAGGACTAACGCAAAGCGATGCCCGCGTGCCGACCGTTTGCACACACCGAACCGGAACCATGCGGCTTCTATCCAATGCCTCGAGCTGAATCAGGCTTTGATGGATCGAGGTTTGGTTACACCCTGAATCCACCAAAGCGAGATAGGTACCCCCCTTAATACTCACAGGTATTTGGTACCGGCCAGCTTGATCGGGGGCAGCCTGTGGGTCGTCCGGGATCCGGATCAGTGCCCCGACCTCCATCACCGGGCACCGGTCAATGAAATGTCCGGGGTCCCCGCAACGCCAACAGGCCGGCCCAGACTTCCCCGCCGCCCTAGTGGCCGGAAGTGGGTCAAGGGACTGGCGTGG